TATATATAATATTTCCTACTACACACATTTGTGTTTAATTTCTTTTCACTTTCTTGAGATAGCAAATCCATCTAAATTAGTTTGATAAGTAAATTGAATTGAATTTTGGAATATTCCTTGGGGATGGGAGTTTTTTTTTTCAGAAAAATTTCTTTTGATGATTTAGGAACTTATTTTCTTTGATTTAAATTTCTTCGAACTGTTGCTTTTATTATCTTTTACATCTCGAGATTTTAAACGCTTTTCTGGAATTAGATTCAAAAATTGTAAAATATGAGATATATATTATTAATTTTCCCTGAAGTCTTTGTTATATTTGGTGTTTTCTTGTCGATATATTACGTAGTGAAGGCTTTATATAAATGAATTCAGAAGTGATGTTGCTTACTATCTGCATTGTTGTGGAATCCAAATGGAGATCTGTATTTTTAATAGTTTTGATTTTACTATTTGAGAATGGAACTAATTTATTGTTTAGGAAAATATACAGTACAGATAACTTTGGTTTTATTTTGACACGAATTATTGAAAGGACTAGTTCATATCTAGTCTTGTTGAATTAGCAGTTAAGAATTAAGAAAGTGCTGTTCTCAACATTTCTTAAAAATGAAATCGTTATAGCCATCTTCGTGCATGTGAGAAAAGGCGTTTGATTTCTTCACTGGCACTTTCTACGTTTTGTTTCATATTGGATATAGCTTTTTGAATATCTATTTTGATGTTGGTTTTATTTCCACCTACCTTGTGTTCTTCGAGCAGTATGATGTCATTTGACAATTCAAGCAAAGTTCCAGTTTCATTATGCGATTTAGTCGATCGTTTGGTTGTTTGTTGGGAATTGGTGATAAAAGTGTGTACACTGGTAGCCTCTTCTGTTGCGTTATTTCGATTAGTAAACAACAGTGAAGATGATTCAAGTTTTTGATCATTTCCTATATCGTAGTACACTGAGGCTTCATTTCGGTTTATTTGACCCTCACTTATATCTGATTTGATCTCCTCGCTTGACTTATTTGTTGTCAGATTAGAAAGGTTTCGTAAATGTTCCGTAAGCATAATTTTCAATTTTTGTCCTAGTAATTCATAAATTCCATCTCCATTAGTTTTTGATCGTTGCTCTGATTCATCCTTTCCATATATTTTTGTCTTGCCGGGTCTCGTCATATCATATATGCGACCTGTAACAGTAGGTCTTGCAGTGCTTTTTTTGTGTAGAAAAATGCTGTTAATATTATCAGTTTCATGTGTAGGTGTATTGCTAACATTGTCCTTTTTCTGAATACTGTCATCGAACTGTGGCTGGTTATCGATCCCATTATGCGACGTCTTTTTTATTTCAGTCATATCGGGTTTACTCATTACTGTTTTATTTTTGGTATGTAGTGCCTCTTTAAGGCGTTCTACTAGAGTCTTGTTAGTATCGTTATTATCAAGCAGCGCGCGTAAGTCTGAGCTTTTTTCTTGCTTGAGAAACAAATTTAGATTTCGAAAGATATCGCCGAATTGTTCATACCATTGCCGTGTATCTTTTTGTGCTATGTCATTTTCGTTACAAAACTCATCGGACTGTTGGGACTTTTGCTTCGGTGGATTTGTTGAGTTAGTTGAAATTGTAACGTTGTGTTTGAAACCACTTTCTATTCTATTAGCCAAGAGCACATCTTCAATATTCTTGGTATTTTCTTTACGCACTATCGATTTTAGTTTCGCGGCAAAATTCTTTGGTCGAGGCTCATTTCCATTAGCAGTTTTATCTTTTTCTTCTCCCTTTTGCTTCTCTTGTGCCTTTTGTTCGATTTCGTCAATTCCTTTGACATTCGGATCAGTAGTTGTTAAAGTTTCTTTTACAGGAATTTTTTGGATCATTGTAAGGCGGTCTTTCTTGTTCTCGTTAGTAAAATTTTCTTTCATCCGGCTAATAAATGATAAGTCCTGTAGTAAGTTAAAAATCTAGTGATTTCCAAGACTTTTTTTTTTGGGATTTTGTCTTGATTGCAATTTAAGAATTTCATCTCAAAAGAAAAGATATATTCAACATAAATAGAAATTCAGATTGTATTGAAGACTTTTTTAGAGATAACTTTTTCCTCCCACTTGAATTTTTCGACTGCTAATTTTTTGTTGTGTTATAGTGTGCATTCGATAGTTCAAGAAAATTCCCATTTCTACTGACCAAAAAGAATAGAGAACTATGCAAATACGGCCGCTGAAAAAGAAAAACGGAATCCGTTCATCACTTACTTCCGTTTTCCCTTGAACATCCATGACTTCGGTCTTCACTTTTTGCAGTTGTACTGTTCGTGGTTCCGGTTTTACTGCTGCACCTTTTTGTAGCTTATTTATTAATTGCACAAATGATTCGTAAAACGGATTGTTTTTCTTTTCATGCTAGAATATTGTTTCAGTTGTCAATTTTAATTTTTGGTAAAATAAATTATCAAAATATGTGTAAGATTTATCAGTTGCCTTAAATTGCATCTCTTTCCTTCGAAATGACTTGAATCAGTTTTTTCTAATCATTTTTGTATTGAAGGTCTCGTTCTTAAGCATTATAATCTCTTTCTGTTCCAGTAGTATTGGGCCTTTACTCTACAATTATCGGTGTTAAAGTGGAATTTAGAAAGAATTCTAAATGCCTTGAGAGGATAGGAATTTTTGCCAATTAATAATTGGAAAAGTGGGGGAGTACAATGTAATAGTTAAGGATTATTTCTGCGAATTTCGTGGTTTATGCCCTTTTTTTGCTGATCCCCTAACTTCAGCTGAAATTAATATTATCATGAAACATTGTAAATAAAATTGTAAGGATACTTCTATTGCAATTGCTTATTCAAAACTATCAGAGCATAATTGTTTCAAATTATAAGTTAATGACGAACTTCACGATGCTGTTCATGACTTCGTTCACAAATATATCGGTTTGTGTAGTCGAAATCCGGTGTTTGGTCACACGGTATAGCTTTTAATATTCTGTTATCAATGCTCAATAATGCACATCGGCCACGTTCAGTAGAATGCAGATTTTTTTCCGTCCTATTTATTGCCACCATTTCCCACTCTCTAAATTGAAATATTTAGCTTTCGAATTTAAAATTTGGATTTTAGCCAATTATATCAACTATTTAGTAATCTCAATTTTTAATTACACAAATAATATATAACTAACAAATATGTAGTATTCAGTGGTGTATTGTTTACCCATTTCCATTCCTTCTTAGTACTGTTTTCTTTGTTAACTAGCGCAAGTCCAATTTGTACGGTCCTTTCAGGCATTATTGAATTACTGAGTGGATAGTGTGATATTAACCAATTCTGAAATGAAAATCAACTTTTGATTTCCAAAAAAATTATGCCAGATTAGTTTTGGAGTTTTAGCTAACCATTCATCAAGGTCACAAAGCGGTCAGTCATGTTGGCCCCGCCACATTTTTACGAGTTTCCGGTCGGCCTTCTGTCCTCTTATATTAGCTTATAGCAGCTTTTGTTCCGTCCTCATATTTTCTATCGTAGTTTTAAAATAATAAAAGAAAACATACCATTTGTTGCAAACTACTGATAATAACGAGATCGGAAGCTAGAGCAAGACAGGATTCTCGAGCCATGTTCCAGGATTGTTTACTGAGATGAAATTGATAATGATGTCCTTCAGGACCGGCAATCCAAGGAGTACCGTAGTTTTGAAAAAATGGCAAAATTGACTGGAAATTAAATAGGAAGTTGACATGCCTTTTTTTTCAAATGTAGTGCAGTCATTACGTATGGCCTGTTCAGTGGTGTACATTTATTTTTCTATTATTCACGCAGAATTGGAAATTGATTTACAAATGAATCAGTTTTTAATTTTACAGTTAAATTTTTTTTCGTTAATTAACAAAGAACATTAGCTCTACTTTATTACTAGTTAGGCTTAGGTCAAAATTCTAAAAGAAAATTTTCGATTTATAGGAAATCGACTTGATATTTTTTTTAATTTCTTAAGTTTTTGAAGATTTTGATGTCAAATTCTTCAGTAAGATTCATATCAAGATGTTTCTTAAACGATGGTTTTGTGGAATTTTTGCAAAAAATTTTGGGTCGTGGAAGTTTATCACACGGATTCAGTGGTGGTCAACCTGGAATTTCAAATATTTCGGAAAATGTTTAGAAATATTTGACGCTAGAAGACATAGTTTACTGACATGGTAATATTTTTTACTGTTTAATTCAGCTCTTGTTTGTTCTTCAAACAATAACAATAATGCACAGAAGGCCGCTTAGTTTAATTTTAATTACTTAAACTTTATTTTCACATAAATTTGCTCCATCAAGTTAGATTTAATAAATTGTGCATACATACCATTTGGCGCGCTTTTACCATCGAATCAGAACCAGCAGTCTGTGTGAAGAACGCGACACTGGCAACTGGAATGTTTAGTATTACAAATGCAAAAATTCAGTGGCAAATTGTCGTCAGATAATTTATTTATAAAATAAATAGTAAATACCTGTTAATCTGACAAACCACTGTTTAGACATAGCCGGTTCGTTTTACACCAAGGTTGGCACTACAAACAAGTCTGGCAGAGAAAATAATAAGTTGGTATGTCGCCTGGAGCTCGTAAAAAGTATTACCCAATCGTGTGGGTGGAATGGAATTTATGCTTTTGATATTTAATTCCTGTAAGCTTGAATATTTGTTTGAGTTTGAAATTTGAGGGAAATTAAGAAAATTTCTAATTTTATTTTAAAGAAAACTGATATTAAATTCGATAACAGTTATTAATTTTGGTGAAACTATATTGCTGACCTAAAATTTTGGAAATTTTCTGACAATTCTTCGAAAAATATGAGTGAACAATAGAAGGATAATTGTGAAAGGGAAGAGAAGAGTAGAAAAGAAAGAAGGAAAGAGATGGAATGGTTCGGCCGAAGTTGTTTTGCGGAATTGAAGTGAGAATGAGGAGCGATCGGGATATTCCTTTTTGACTGGGTTTTCGTCGAATTATATAAGTGGCTTGTTCTAGGTCAGCGACGTGACCCAAATATATCGTTTTACCCGACAGATAAATTTCCGACTTTAATTTCTCTGATTCCATCTCATATTTTTTCATGCGGGCTTTTTGTACAAACTATCACTGCCACTACTATGTTATTTTACTATCATTACTTTCGTTGTCACTATCGCTACTAGTTTTTCAAATTGAATCAGCCCCTCTGGGATGTTGTGAGAAAAATAATTTCTGAAAATTGCTTAAGAGTTCAAAGTACATTGTCAATCAAATTTCGTTATCATGAGTGAATTTGTCCTGTGGTTTTGATCACACCAAAACTCGAAGCTTTCAAGAACGAATTTTTATAAATAAATCATGGGTTTTACTCTCACGTTAAAGCTAAAGACAAAATTTTGTTCTGACCAATGAATTCTAATATTTTACCGAACTCAAAAATCTATCAACGAAAATTTCGATCTACAGTAAATTTTATTTCATGTTCTAATCGCAAATTTTTTGATCATAATTGTAAGTACTGCTCAAGCATCACTTTTTTGATGTATTCGTTAGAAAATTTTATCTCTTTCCCATTATGAAATAAATTGATGATATATCATAAATTCACAGATACATTACAAATCTATAAAAGAAATATTTTTAATGATGTAAGTAATAAAAATGGTACAATACTAAGTTTTTTAGCATCAAGTAAATATTAATGCATGGGAATTTAAATAAACAATATTTTTTAAAAATATTTCAGTTTTTGCTTAGAAATGAATTGAATATTCCAACAAAATATGTTCTATTCTTTTTTGTACCTTTGGAGCTAGCAAACAGTGCGGTGACATTAATCTGATTTTCAAGATGCTGAACCGAAATTAAATTTTCATTATTCTTACTTAAATTATCTTTGCTATCCGTAATAGTTGAAATTAGTTTTTCCAAATGTCAGAATGATTCGTAATTCTCATGGAATTATCTTAGCTGCTATTTAAAATTTTATTCCAAGATAGCACTTTTAATTATTTTTTACTCCATATTTTTCATAAGAGGTGAAAAATACTTTCATTTAACTGCCAAAAACTTTTCCTTATTAAATAAATGATATCATTTATTAAAGCGTCGATGATCACTGATCTATTAGTTGAGCTAATTAAAGGTACAAGGGAAATTTGTTACGACTTCATTTAATCAGTTTTGTAAAATGTTTTCCAATTAATCCCTCTATTTATTAGTTTTTGAGATCATGGAAACCTTTTTTTTCTCTTGCTTTGATAATTATTTATCAATATCATAATGAATTTAATCAAAAATTTGAACATCTCATATTGAATTTCCTGTCTTATAGATATTGGTTAATTTAGAAACAATTTCCAAATCAGAACCCAAGAATTTTTATAACATTATGTTGCAAACGTCCGCATCCATTTATAGGAAATATTAATAGTGCTTTAATTTTTTCCTTTAATTTTGGCTCACTTTTCACTGCATTGTAGAAGCACTTCTTCAATATCATTATTAGTTGTTAAGAGCTATGTTTTATTGTTCTATAATTTCCTTTTTATGTTCGCTTTTGGAATTTATCAAAGTTGTTGCAATCAAAAATTGTGAAAGTGTAGACCGTAATAGCTCGTGAAATATTCATTAATAAATTATTTCCGTCAAAACCGTACAATTTATTCGTCGTGATCAAGTTAAGGAGCACTGTAATAAATATTTCGAATTCTCGATAAATGTCGTCATAAACTCCTTTTTCAATCATCCCACAATACAAAAGCTTTTTTTGCAGGATGCATAAATCAGGTGGAATTGTTTCCAATGATGGAATAATAGCGATAAAAAATGTCATTGCTTCTGTAGACCAGACATTGTGTGAAATAAAGCCGTGGAAGTTAATCATAGCAACTGCTGCTGGTGTAATCTTTTTGCAGCGTGTTCGACGTATATGGTATGCATCGGAGCAACCAATATATTTACGGTAACTTTGAGAATCCACCAAGTTTTGCTTATGAAATGAACTGAGACTTAGGTAAATTTTGATTATATAATAACCGAATTAAAATATGGCCGTTGTCTTTTTCTGACTTCTATTTATGCAAGAATTTTGGTGAAAACTTATATTTACTCCTCGATTTTTGCTTGAATGCTGGAACTATTTATATTTGTCATTAGTTTTGAAAAGATTTTCCCCAGTCGTGTTAAGGATAATATTAGGTGAGGCAAATAAACTTTTCTGCATTTCAGGCTACTTGGGAAAGCATTTTCCGTAATTTGTTCATTATCTCCCATACGAAAAAAGCTTGAAAAGGAACTGAATTATACTCGGCAAAAAATTTACCGCGAAATTCATAAGTGTGATAATACCGGTCTTTTTTTTCGGATGCTTCCTGAAAGTGGCATGAATAATGCAAAAATTGTTAGTATAGCAGGTTGGTTTCTTTGAAGTTTTGTTGTGGATACCTAATTTCTTCAGATATATCAAAAAATTGATTAAGGTCATCTTTCAGAACAATATAATGCGATGACAGAGGTGGACGTCTTAGCTGGTAAAGTGAGTGGAGCTGTATACACCGATCAGAACAGTGAACAAAGCAATCTACTTTCAAAAGTAATCACCCAAAAATTTTTAGAATTCAAAGATTTAATGAAAGAAGAAATCTACTATATGTTAAGATTGTGTTAATAAAGTATGTTAAGATTGTGTCAACAAAGTTATTATTATAGATGTTTGACATTTACGCGTTTGCAAACCCACTTCATCCAGATATCTTTCCCGGATGTCGGAAAATGGAAGCTGAGATTGTTCATATTGTTGCAAACTTATTTCATGGAGGATTGAAATGTTGTGGAACGGTATGCATAAATCGTTGTTTATGAAAGCTTCAGAAAGTATATATATTGAATTTTTGGAAAAATTAAAATTTTATATGCAAATTTCTAATTTGAAAGAATGAGAAATAATTTGGTAGCTCGCTGTTATTATAGGTAACATCCGGTGGAACTGAGTCAATTTTATTGGCAATGCTTTCATACCGTAACTATGCAATTATTAAGGGTATATCGGAGCCAGAAATATTAGTCCCGGTCACTGCACACGCAGCATTCGACAAGGTTAATTTTCCTTGGAGTTATTGATATTCAAGAATGAATATTACAATCACAAATTTTTACTTAATTTTTGAAAACTGTCCTTAAAACCCCTCAATTTCATGTTATTTTTAGGCAGCACATTTGTTTGGTATGCGAATACGACATGTACCTGTTGGAAATAATCAAAAAGTTGATATAGATAAAATGAGACGAGCTATATCTAGGGACACTTGTGTTGTAAGTATAATCGAAAGACATTACTGGACGTCTCAAAAAACTTCTTCGATCTTTATCATTTTTCACTTTTCAGCTGGTTGGATCAGTACCAAACTTCCCAACTGGCACAATGGATGATATTGAACAAATCGCACAAGTATATTTCATTATAGAGATCTAGATATCTAAAAGTGCCCAGTCAAAGTTGTTTGAGTATTTTTGATTTCTGCGGGTTTTAAATTTCAGAGAAACATTTGAGGAGTTTTGTGAATTGAAAAACCATCGTCTTTTCGTTGCCTCCTTTATATAATACATATTTGTGACTTCATATGAAAAGAAGTTTTTTGACTGAATGCTTTGAATGCTTCTTTTTAGCTTGGGCAAAGATATGATATTCCTGTGCATGTTGATGCATGTTTGGGTGGTTTCTTGATAGTTTTTATGGAAGAATGTGGCTATCCGTTACCTCCATTTGATTTTCGTGTGTCTGGCGTTACATCAATATCATGTGATACACACAAGGTTTGTTTCTTAACTTACTCCCAGAAAATGAAAAAAATTTCATTCATTAAACGGAGAAAATCTCCCATATTTCAACTTTGTAAGTCGAAATCGATTTCAGTATGGCTATGCTCCAAAAGGATCCTCAGTCATACTTTATCGAGAACGAAAATATTTACATCATCAATACATGTGCATTCCAGAATGGACTGGAGGTATATATGCCACTCCGACTTTTGCAGGTGTTATTTTTTTTAACTTATAGTATTAAGGCATTAAATGAATCTCCCTTGCAGTGTTAAAAGGGACAGGTGCTTGGCAAGATCTAGTGTTTGTATAATTGACAAAATCTCAGAATGAATTTTGAAACTAATTTTTTAGACAGCTCTTGGCCTAGGACTTCCATTATTTTGGATAAGGAAGTAATTAGTTGAAATTATTTGTTATGCGTGACATTCTCTCATCACTTTACGTTTAGGAAGTCGTTCTGGTCTAGCAATATCGTTAGCTTGGGCTACTTTGCTTTTTTTTGGACGTTCTGGTTATGTGCAGCGAACAAAGGAAATCATTCAGTGTGCTCGCCGAATTAGCTCCGCCATTATGGTAACTTTTTAGTAGATAATTCATGGAACATCCTAATGATTCATGGTACTAGATCGAAATTCCTAAAATGTCGTTTTTAAACAAATGCCATCTTATGGACCACGAAATTTCATTCAACTTTAAATTGTTCAATATTTCATACGAAGTTGCATTAATTCTCAGGATCTTAATTTGCTTAAAAAATTCGGATTTCAAAATATCTCCATCTTTAGAAATTGACAGTTATGAATGCTGTAGATAACTCAAGTATGCAAAATGTTTTTTTGTTGTTTTAGAATGATATTGATGGTCTTCGTCTTCTTGGTTCGGCTGATGTATCTGTTGTAGCATTTACCAGTGATGTTTTCAATGTTTACGCTCTTGTGGATGATATGTCTGCTCTTGGATGGAATTTGAATTCCATCCAAAATCCTGCTGGGTAAATTCTTTACAAATGCTTTGCATTGTGAATCAGAAATTGTCGGGAAGGAAAATCAAGCTTTTATGCGTAATGAAACAACAACACTGGTTTATCATGACATGAAACAAATTTAAGGGAAAGTGCTTAGTTAAAGCCTTTTTATTTCAGAGCACATATCTGCGTTACCTATAATACGGTAGTTGCTGATGCGTGGCAAGCATTCATAGATGATTTACGAAAAGTTGCTTTTGCTCTGATGAATGATCCAGATAGAGGAAAACATTCAAATATGGTATTTGTCGTGAATTTTTTTGAATTGAATTGAATTGAATTGTTGAGAGGTCCGACAAGCGCCAAATATTACCACCACCTGACCATTGATTGTCATTGTTTCATTGTTCGCTGTTTGCACACTTAATTGAGCCGTAGTAGTAGGGGGGCATTGTAGTGGCATCTTTGTGCCGAATGAGGCGACTAACATCGTTCGAGGGTTCAATTCTCTCAATTTCAATTGATTTGATAATTTCTTTGAAATGAAAGACATTTGTGA